AATCATCACTTATGACAATAACTGTGGCTCTGCAAACAGGCAACAGAGTAATCAAGTCGAAGGCACTGAGCATACAATGTGAGGCTTATAGTGTCAGTGGAGTCCACCCATGTTGTGAATACTTCTGTCATTTCTTACCCATGATCATTCATGATAATTCCCTTTTGTTTAGAAGTGAATTTAACCAGCATCACATAAACTGTGATTTGGCAAATCTATTCAAAATCCCATACAAAATATTCAGTCTCACAATGTATGATCTGGCAAGGGTTATGTGACAATAACCAGAGGTAGAGGTAAACCACATGCAATCATGGGGAAAAGGGTTTTCACAGTACTCTGTATAGTCCTGTAAAAAAAACATAATGCCAATATTTCCAGAGCCACCTTTAGCAGAAATAGCTTGAAGTAACTTTCTGACTTTAATTTTATCAGTTTGAGACAAAATTTAAACACAACAATATGACACTCTTCTTTACAGTGTTGACCTTAGCCTCCTTGGGTTCCCACCACTACATTTCAGTTGGGTTGAGGTGTGATCTTTGAATGGGCCCTTCCAACACTTTGATTATTTTCTTTTTCAATCATTCTGTGTTGATCTGATTTGCTGCTGTTGACCCAGTTTGGGCCAAGCTTTAGCTGTCTGATAGATGGCCTCGGATTAGTCTCTAAAACACTTTGATATAGACTTTAATGGTTTGACTCAATGACACCGAGGTGCTCAGGTCCTGTGGCTGCAAAACGAGCCCAAATCATCACTCTTCACCACTGTGCTAAGGAGTTCATGGGAGGTGTTCGTGCTCATATGCTGCGTTTAGTTTCTATCAAACATGAGCTCTGTGCATTACTGCAAATGTATCCACTTTTGTCTCATCTCTCCACAGGACATTGTTTTGGACGTCCTGTGAATGGCACGTTTCCAAGCCATTGTTCCAGTTTATCCGATTGTACTATCATGAACTTTAACATTCAACATGCAACACCTCTGCTTTTATAGAGATACTCGTCCTTGATGATTAGTTAATGAAGTCGACAGTGGTTGTCCAGCATTTGTTGAGCTAATCTGCAACCACATAGTTGAGGCTGGATAGTTTTCATTTGGCCTGTAGCCACATCTCCCTGTCTTCATGGTAAAGGTGTTGATGAGTACACTACATCCACAGCATGAATTAGCATGCAGTTTGTTCAGTGCTCTGGTAGGAGGAGCCTGTCATGTAAAGTTTCACATGTGCAGTAGAAGTGTAATGTGTGGGTGATTCGGTTGGTACTGAGATCTGCTCTAAAACTAAGAAAAAAATGTTAATGAAAACAAAAATGTGTTGTTTGACAGTATAGTATCAAGGTCAGCAAGAACCACGCCAGACTATATTATCTGCAGGAATTGTCATATTCTGACACCAGGCAAACAGCAGCACACTCCTTTTATAGGTCAGTGCCCTTTCCCAGGTGAACTTATTCATACCGACAACACATTCACACCCAGACTGACACCTACATCTAATTATACAGTTGGCAGTTCACCTGACCTGTATCATAATGTGTTGTGTGAGGTGAGATCGTTAACCCTAATCAGTATACCTTGAAGATCAGGTTAAAATACGTCACAAAAAGGTAGCTTCATGTTTTTATGACTTTGAAGCCAATAGATTTTAACTGGAATTTACCTTTTGTCGGTGCTGGGTGAATTCAGTGGGATGAGCTGGTGAATTTTGAGCATTCTCTGACAAATGCTAAAGAAATATTACGTGTGTCGTTGTTGTTTGTTTTGGTTTTTTTGAAGACAACACATGATTTATTGTTTTAACAACCCAACGCAAAAACCTAAAACATTAAAATAGGCTAACTTCATTACCTCCCTGTAGCATATGCAGACCAAAACTGGCCACTGTGTAACACTATGTGCAGTCCCACTTGTATACAGTAGGTAGAAAAATGAAAGCACTGAGATCGGAGGCAAAATCTCCTTAGAGGGTTTAGCTAGTTATCTATGGTAACTTTATATTGTTATTCTTGGATTTCTTATACTAGGCCTTGGTGCCTCTTATTTGATAAGAATATGTTCTACTCCACTTTCAGTGTTGCTGCGACTGGTAGTGACCAGGAGGGCTGCTGTGCTCACAGCTAGAACTTTGGGCATCAGGGAGATTTCCACAATCACTGACATCACACAGAGGCAACAGTAGAACACTCTTAAACTACAGTGTATGGTTTCATAGTCAGACCCACCCCTTTCTTCACATCCAGTTTCAAAACAAGACAATGGTGACGGAGAAAATGCTCCTCAAGCCTTCTAAGTAGGACTTCAGAAACCGCTGGGTGATGTCACGGCATCTATGCTCCTCTTTCATGCTGTCTATGGTCTGTCAACTTGAATCATAAAAAGTGTGTACTTTTACTGGCAACACATCCAGTTTTCTATTAGTGTAAGGAAAATAGGTTTCAGCATGCCTCTAAGATGTGTATATATATGTGTGTGTGTGTGTTTGAGAGAGAAAACAATAATATTATATGTTCTGTCATACGTTGACATTGTGCTTAGATTCCTGCTTTCTTATTTCATATAGTAGGAGAAAAATGAGCTAGAGTGTGAAAGAACAGTCCTTTTACTATTTTCCTTTTCTACTTTGATGCTTAGCTCTCACTGCATCCCCCTACCAACAGATTTGAAATGAAAGGATACGCCTATATCTTCTCGCCGAAGCTTCCTATACGAAGCGCCTCTGAGCAGCACTCTTCCTGAATGATTAAATATGTGATCAATTTTAGGGTTATGTAAGGATGCGGCATAGAGGCGAAATGAGAAATGATCATGGAGGTAATAAACAATGGACAGTAGTCTATTTATTCCAATCAAATCCTGTAAGTGCTCATTGAAGTCTATATTTCCAGTTTTTTGCTGTTCTTTGGTTTTACATAAGTGCAGCACACATAAACCTAGTTTGCTGAAGTGTGAATGTCATCTTCTCCTCAAAATTAAACGAATAAATAATAAATGTATTGCTTAAAGATGTCATGGTCCCCCAGAATGATATATAGGAGGAGCTTCAGCTGATTTAAATCCCTGTCAGCTGGACAAATATGTCAGAGAGAGTGTTGGGCAAATAAAACAATTTTGATATGACACAGTTGTGGTTAAGGTTTGGCTTCACATGTACGAAAATGGCCTCTTGGTGGTTTTTAAAGTGAAAGAAAGTGGTGCTCTCAAAAAAATCCAGCTGAGTCCCCCAGGGGAAAGAAAAAAACATCCCCTGCTGGCTTCCCACCTGCGAACACTCAAAACTGTTTTGGGCAGAAAGCCTGCCGGGAGCCGACATATTACCTCCATTTCAATTAAAAAGAAGCTGGGTGTTAAAAATGCTTACATAAGCACACCGCTGATGTGAGCATTTTTATGACTTTTGGGTTTGTTTTGGTACACAAGGTGGTTTGGGGAAAATCATAGTTTCAGCAACAGACCATGGTTATCATGAAGGCGTGTCAAAAGCATAATGACAAGTGAAAGGAAACATCCTTTGCCAAAGTCCAAAATTTTGCTGACCCATCCAGGTGCTCTGACTTCCTCCCTGTGCAGATGTCACATTGTTTCTGTACCTGTTGTTTTTTTACAGTCACACAATAGCAACCATCCTGATCTGCAACAGAGCTGCTGGAAGTTGTAGGCTTCAGTGTTTTTCTCAAGTATCGCTTAAATGTCAAAATGTGAAAGGGGTGCTTTTAAAAAATAAACTAAAAATGATGTGTTTACTGCAAAAACCATATCATAGCATCAACGCAAGATGGGTTCCCACCTGTTAACACCACCAGCTGTGTTGCTGGAATCCCTGCCGGGAGCTGCACGGGTAGTCCACTCAGATGCCTCTCTACTACAGTCTCAGATGTGTGCGTGTGACATACTGAAGTGTTTCATCTCTACTTGTAATAACAGCATATGTCAAATGAAATCCTAACGTGGCAACCAGCACTGACAATAACTTACTGCATATTGTACAGTCATGGCTTTCTTAGTTTCACTGTGTATTTTGCATACATTTCTATGTGCACACAGTCCTTGAGGGGAAAAGGTGGTCGAGGTGGTGATGAGTGTCTTCTTTCCAGCCTAGCCAGCCTCTTCTTTTGTCTGATGGATTCCCTTGCATTTTTCTGGGCCAGCCTCCCTCATCAAAGTGATTAAGCAATTACACTGATTGTGCCGATGCTCAGAAGAACGGGGGAAGGACCCTTGAGTATTGAGTGCTAAAGCTTTCTTAGAGATAATGGCTTAATTTGTGCCTAATCAAAATAAAACCTGTTTTCTCAAATCTCCACCCTACCTGTAGTACAGGTTAGCTTGGGGAATTGAGAAGGTGTCTTTAAGAAGAAGCCAGTGGAGTTAAAAAAATAAATCCCTGATGGGGCCTTTCCAACTTAAGCATCATTGCATACCCTATAGTCATCCTTATGCAGTATAGACGTGTTATTATAAAGCAATGAGGCCTCTCTTCAAATGAAATAATAATTATCATCTCAGAACTGATTACATAGAATCCTCTAAAGATGCTGCATATACATATCATGGATACCAAGTGGAAATAATCAAAGTGTTTGGAAATTAAATCAGCATTCAGTTCATCTCTCAGAGCTGCTCTGGGCATCAATAATAAAACAGGGGTCTGGTGAGCCCTCTGAATCAGAGCAACAGAACTAAATGTATGAAATCCTCCTGTATTTTCTTCTCGCGCACACACACGCACACACGTAGTTATACCTCAGTCATCATTTTCCCATCAGAGCAGTCCAAATAACAGATCTTCCTCCGTGTGCTATCATTTCTTTACCACAATTGAAGCCAGCCAAAGCACACCCAGCGCGCAACTTCAAGCGCGCTGGATTCGGCATCAAAAATTAATCACATCAGAACTTAAATCACAACCGTGAGCGAGTTGCATCTGGGGGTGTGGGGGAACCGCATGGCAAAAGAGTGAGAGCAAAACGCGAAGGGAGGGTGGAAGAGAGGGACTCACCCGCGGAGGATATCTGGAGGTAGAGGCGGGGGTCTGAAGCTCGAATGGCCGCTGTGTACCGATCCTCAATCCCTGGCACCTGCGCGTTTTTCTCGGGCATAAGCCGGACCCTGAGCCGCCCCCCCTCAGCGCCGAGCCACCACTCCAGAATAGTTGTGAGGTCCATTTCCAGGATGTACACCGGGGCCTCCTCGTACACAGACAGCCCCCCGCATCCCGTCCTGACTAAATCCTCTCCTATTTCCACCACAACTTGGTTAGATTTCCTGCTCGCCTTCGTCAAGCCCAATTTCAGAACTTTGGTCAGCGGTCGCTTGTAGAAGGAGGGGAACTGTCCATCAGCAGACGCGTTCCTCAGTGCTGATTCCGCTGCAGACTTAAGGTCCACAAAAGTAGAAATGGTTTTCTGTAAAGGTATGCATTGCATTTTTAAGTTTGCGCGCACCGTGTAACATCCGCTAAAAGTCTGGCAGTCGCCGTTTAAGGGTCTCTTTATGAACTCCGCCAGATAATAGCGCAACAGAGAGGGGACCGCAAAATCCACGGCCAGTGTTTTCCTCTTGTTCCTGGAGATTTGGGTTTGGTTCGAGTCTTTTTTGCCGCCGCTTTCCCCGCTGATGTTGCTGATGTTGCTGAAGCCGATAGCGGGCAGATCCGTCCTCGATGTGGTCCTTGGCGAGGCGCAGTGCAGCTCAGCGAGAAATGCCGCAGAAGAAACAAGCAAAAATAATATCCTGGCGTCCATGGTTTGAGAATTTGAGTGTTTAGTTTAGGAGACGCATGCATTAATCCCACCGTTCACCGTTTCCTCTCCGCTCTTGTCACATAGGTTACGCAGCGCAAAAATCACAAAGTGCGAATCGATGATCCTGCGTGTCCTGCGCCTCTTTGCCGGTGCGCACCCGTGGCAAGACGACGGGGAACTGGCTTTTACATTCGTTTGCCACCTACTATTGCTATCCTCCGGTTTGCAAGCGGGAAAAGTGCCATATCCCCTCTCTGTTCCCGGCACACAGACCTCTGAGACAATACCTTTTATTACCAGTGCGAACCTAGCGAGTCGCTCTCCGGGACGCTGATTGATATGCCGGTCGGGTCCGCTCCGGTGGCTTTCAAAGACTCCCTGTCTCTTGGCACAGTTGTGACGGCGGTACAAGTGGTCTCTCTGTCAGAAGCGGGATGCAGCGTCCCTCTCTCCCCTCACAACTAAATGAATTCACAATGAGTTTGGAGGAGTCGAGCCGCCATTAAAGTTTCAAATAAAATCTCACAGTCCTGGCTAATTGGAAACCTCTTGGACAGCCTCACTGGTTTACAGTCTACTGAAGATCTCGGTGCTCCTTTGGTCAGAACTGGCAGCTCTGATCGCTGCTGTCATGCCTGCACATGCGGTAAAGTCATTCACACATCCATTTGACGTCAATAAAAACCGTTTTCTCTGAACACGACTCCCTTGTGCGAAAAGCGTCGTTATGGACACATGTGATGCGCTCTCAGCGCAGCCGTAACTCTGCCTATTTCTTTATTGAAATTAGAAACGCCAGGAGGTGTAGCTGCACAGCTCGGCACATTGTCTTTGGTGATTTTTTTCAATGAATCACCGAGCCTTTTACGTGTCCGGAAATTGGATTGGATTAGTCGCACTCTCCCGGACCGGTTGTGTGCAAATCAAATAGTTTCAGAGGGAGGCTATTTGGGCTGTAGCCCATGCGGTTCTGTTATATCTCACGTGCAGAGGCTAATAGCCTTCTTCTTTAAAAGATCAGGGAGCTGTGTTGCCATCTTGCCAGTTCATTTGCCACACAGGCTGTGTCCTTAATTGGGAATTAAGGGGTAGGTGATTGGAGCAGGAGATTAAAAAATACCAGAAGATACTCAGTCACCTCTCTTCTTCTCCCTCCCTCACATTAACAGTCTCTTCGCTGACTTTAAAAGTTGATCAGAGAAGACACCCACTAGATGGCGTCATCACATGCTGCAGATCATTTGCACTTTTCAGTTTCACTGACAAATCCATTAATGCTCTAATTGCTCTGGAATTTTTACAGTCTGATTAGAGTGTTATCTGTGGAAGAGGATTAGGGCAATATGTGAAAATTTTATGAGTCGAGGAATCACAGTCTCCAAAGTCAGAACTGTGAAGTCTTTTTTTTTTTAAGTATAAAATTCTGGCTCAACTTTTTAACATTAATCTATCAGGTAGATATGGTACTCCAAAATAAAGTTTTTTTTTGATTTCTTCAGATAATAAAAAATAAAATTACGTTCTTACATGTTACATTTGTGTGAACAATGAGGGCTGGAGTGGATATTTTTATTAAACTGACTGTTTAATTTCTTTTAATTTCTGTAGACATATGCTATAAATATAGCTGTTCTGGGTTGGAAATGCAAATCTTTAATATTACTTTTTGTTAGAAATAAATATTATTTGCAGTATGTTTTAGTTTATATCTTTGGTAATTTAGCCAATGGAGACATGCACATAATTAAACTAGGCCATGCTATTGAAATGCATAACAGGAAGCAGATGAGAAGTAAACTATGTACTAATGGAATTGTCTTTGTATATGAGTTGTGTTTAGCATTGTAGCTGTTGTCATGTTTGTTTTCCATGCTCCCAAACTGACCATACTTGGTCAAGAAAGCGAAATGCTATGTTATCTGCTTAATCCAATTCACCAAGACTTTAGTGTTTTATTACAGTTGCATTTCCATGAACCGAATGAGTCTGATAACTACATCTTTAAAAGGAACACCAAAACCTAGGTCCAGAGATCCATTTCAGTGACTAATTGGCCAAACTGACACCGACAGACATCTAGGAACACAAACCTATCACTTAAATTGCCCACACCCCTTATAATCAGTGTTGGGCAAGTTACTTTGAAAAAGTAATTAATTTTAGTTTCTAGTTACTTCTTCAAAAAAGTAACTGAGTTAGTAATGAGTTACAATATTCTAAAAGTAATTAATTACTTGAAAAGTAACTATTGCATTACTTTAAAAAAAAAAAAAGTTTAACCCTCTGGGGTCCAGGGTATAATTGGCCATTTTTGACTACTTTTGATTAGACCTCTACATTTCACCTTTAAAAACTATTTACTTTGCCTTGTTTGGTATCATTCTTTTCAGCACAACCTCACGTGTCTGAATTTACAGCTATGTTTTCATTTTGACATACTGTATTAACACACTGATCTAAAATCAGACAAAAAACATGAAATCCGAGTAGAAAGTTATGTTTTTTACTGTAACAACCACAAACATGTTTAATGAATCATATTTTATAACTTCAAATGCAAATATAAATTGTGAATTTTAAAATCATTTCCACAAGTTTTGCAAACAAAGTTATTTGCAGCCATTTACCTTTTAGTATAACCATTTCAAACTATTTACAAAACAATCAGCTGTTCTGCATTCAATAAGATGTCACACAAATTATTTGTGCCACTCCAAAACAATAATTTCTGTCCAGGCCTGACAGCAGCAGATGTATCACTCCTCATGTTTTCATTCAGCAGTTGCCTCATTGTTCTGACACACAACACAAAACTATCCACAACACTACACACTAACTACACAAGACAACACATTAACTACACACTCCAAACACGCTAAACGTCACAAATCTCTCACATCTCAAAACTTGCTCTCTCTCTCTTTTTCTGCTGTCTTTCTTTCTCTCTCTCTCGCCATCACTCCTCAAACTTCCCCCTCTTCTTAAACAACCAAATGCCATGTTGTCATATCATTTTTGATTGGTCGACATGGTGCATTTTTCCACGAACGGGCTGTTTTTTGTTTTGTTTTTTTGTTTTTTGCTCATAAGCAGAGAGATCTTGCTAGTGCTGTCCTTAGACAGTAAACGTGACGAAACTATTGAGGAAAAAACGCCTCGTATATATATTGTCTATCATGACTCTGGTTTTACGTGGCCTATCAACACAATTTAAAAACTGGTATATATGACCTTGTTGCTTTGTCATCTTGAAGTGGTCATATGATTGGCTTACCACAACTACTTTATTCTTCCTCAGTCAAACAGCAGCACTCATGCGATTGTTTTGCTCCCTTAGCTCCAGGTGTTGTGCCAAAAGTGATCCATCCTACTTTGGCAAAATGTCCTACCGTAAGTACTTTATGCACATTTCTGCTGTCACAGAGTAATTCCAGCACAAATATAAGTAGGTATGATGGTTTGTCACTTAACTTTGCCCATCAGAGTATGCTTGTAGCTCATATTCATGAAGCCAGGACGGTTTGCCACTTCATTTGACCCATTAAAGTATGCTTGTAGGTCACATTCACAGAGGTAGCATGGTTTGGCACTTAATTGTACCCGTCAGAGTATGTTTGTAGCTTTTATTAACAAAGGTAGGATGATTTGCCACTTAATTTTAGCTCTTAAAGTATGCTTGTAGGTCACATTCACAAAGGTAGGACGGTTCGCCACTTAATTTCGAGTTGTGCGCATGCATAGAAACAACGGGTAGGATGGTTTGTCAGGTAGGATGGATTCCCAGAGTGCCTGTCCGCGGGAGCGTGTGCAGCTGCTTAAAGCTGTAGCGCCCAGATTACTTACCTAGATGTTGCGCTCTAAAAGTAGTTACAAAACTAAAATTTTTCTGAATTATTGGGAAAATCTTTAAAGACTATACTTATTTAATTGTGTTTTGTTTTTGGACACATTTCTAGTTAATTTTTGTAGTTTACTGGCTCCAGGAGGTCAGAGTTCAGATGTGTGATGTCATCAGTAAGCGCAGAGGAAAAAAACAGTGTCTGAGACGGGAGGGAGCGATGTTTTGCTGATGATACGCTATTCTGCCTGTAAACTCCAAACCTGAACTGGGGAGAATAAAGTTGCAAGAAAAAGGAGAATGGAGTCATGTCTCTCTGAGGGTGCAACATAGACAGCTACTTGCGTGCAACTGAAATAAGATGCGGTAAACTGAACACAGCTTTAGCCGTCTGTTTGTTGAAAAATAGTAACGCCACCGCACTGCATTTTCTTGTTAGTAACGGTAACGGCGTTGTAACGATAGGAATAGTAATTAGATTACTCGTTACTGAAAAAAGTAACGCCGTTATTCCCATCACTGCTTATAATGCATAACTTTAAGTTTGCATAGCTACAGAGACCAACCAAAAACAAACAAACAAACAAAAGAAACCATTTATAAATCCAGCTGATTATATTGTTCTAAAGTTTAAAATTTTGATTGTCTTTTTGTTGGAAGCGTACCTCACGGGGCACAGGTTTGTTTGTTTTTTTTCTCATGTTGGGCTGGAGATTGGTCAGTAATACCCTGCCAAAAACTGTTTGGCAGGAAAAACTATTTCAAGACTGGTTGTTGAGTAAATTTGGAAGATTACTTGCTGTAGCTAGGAGAATTTGGTTGCAGAAGGGTATATAGTGTTATACCAAGAACTGCATTGTGACTGCTTTGGTTGCTACCAGGCCATTGTGGTCCCTATATTTTGCAGGCAAGACGCCGACTTTTCTGCAAACAAAAACAAAGCAAACACAAGGTGGCTTTTGGTGCAGAACCCTCTTTGCCACTGATTTCTCTCTGAGAAAGCCAGCAGTCACTCCCCAGCTGGTCGGGGAATACACATTTTTCCCTAGCGACAGAGTTTGCCAGTGGGTCACTGACTGGTCTCAAGGCTTGTGTGGCTGAGGCCTTAATTATCGAAACCCAGAGCTTTCTGTTTCATTATGACTGGAGTGTCCTGGCTATAATGTTAAAGTTTATAAACATCCAGGTTTTATAAACCTAAATAATGCCCAAGTTCAGTTTGGAGAACTTCAGTTCTGTACTACAGAGCAGGCTTATAGGCTTAGCAGGATAACTTCACTTTTAACCTTAGGTTTTCAGTAATAAGAAAATGGTTTACTTATTACGGATCTACATCAATATGGCAACTTCTGCTGCAGCCCTAACCTGGTTCAGAGTGCTTTTGTCCTACCTGATGAACATCAATAGGAAATACAGCTGCTTCCTTGCTTTTTATTTTTTTCTGCTGGCTGGCTTTAAAAAGTATTTTATTTTTCTACAACCCTTAATATAATGATGCAATCAAAAAAAAGATCACCAAAGCATTGTACCTACTGACCTTGTATAAAATTTGGACATGGCTGAGATCACTTACAGAATAAAGTATTTTTATTTTATTTTTTATTTGCTCCCTGACCATTTAACACTACTGGGACTGCAGCTGAAAGAATAGGGCTACAACTGTCATGCAAATTAAACAACATATCTTACATATGCAATTGTAATAACTGTCTTAATTGTTCAGCTGTGATATCGATACACTGATAATTCTATTAACTTCCTAAATCATAATTTTAAAGCTTTTATAATTAGATGATCTTTGTCAAAAATATCTTTGTCTGTTGCCAGAACACCTATCCATGTTTGTGTTTAGTTATATGCTGCCACTCTTCCCTCTTTTATCTGAATGAACACATAGCTAGAGTTGAAGTATCCAATTCATAGCCATCTTTTTGTAACTACTAAGTAGGATTCCCATAGGGTAAGTGAATGCCATATAGCAGAAAGCTATATATGCCTATGTTGAACTTGCTCTGTCGTAATGATAGAAACAGTGATTTGTAGGTGGAGATGGATTTGTATACAATGTATCCAGGTTTTGGCATCTTTGTTCAAAAAAATGATGACAAATGAAGACAATTGTACAAAGAGTTGTGGTTGCTCGTTTTCCTTTTGTTTGCTTTGTTCATTTGTCTCTTTTAATTCTATTTTTTTTTATACTTTTTCAACATGTTCAAAATAAAGATTCAATCAATCAAGATACTGTTAAGCTCTTGTACACATCAATGTGGTTAATGAGATTTCTCAT